GAAAAAAAAATATTGGGTCATTTTTTTTTAAATCGTTGGGAAATTTCTAGAAATAACCCAACTGTTGGGTTAAATATTTAACTCAACTGTTGGGTTACTTAACCCAACTATGCATTGGGTTAAAATAACCCACAGTTGGGAAGGTGCTATAACACATATGAAAGAAAAAGCCCGCACTTTGCATAGACAGTTTATTTTACAAGATTGTAAAATAAACTGTCTATGCAAAGTGCGGCCTCTTTCTTCCATAAATGTACTCTAAATATTAGGCCAGCACTCTTAAAATAAATTTAAACTATTGAATGAAGCCTGCTCCAACTTCCATTCATTCAAGTTGCTATACCACCCCATAATTGGGTTATTCGTTGGGTTATTTTAACCCAACAATTTTAAGTGAGTGAGCGGTAACTTAAAATATAGTACAGCTTCCCCAGTTGACCTTATTCAACACTTTTCTGTATTGGAGGGAAGAAAGTACTTTGAAAAGCACATCTGGAGTGTCTAAAACGTATAATAATAGTGACCCGTAGCTGTGAAGGAGAAGTGCCTGCAGACGGGCTGAAATCTCCTGCTTGAACGGCAGGTTTCTGAACAACAGCCTCGCGGGGTGTCGGATGATAAAAAAAAAAAAAAAAAACTCCCAACATGCAGAACACTTCTCCATACATGCACATATGCCATTCAGTCGCGAATAGATCAGAGATAGTATTTATCTGGCACGGATTGACAGACAGCTTTCTGAGGCTAGAGCAGATATTCCTACAAACTCGCTCAATCACGACGCTCCTCAATCGCTCTTCTGGTGTGCCAGTGCCAGAGATGGATAATTTGAAGAAAGTTTTTTTTTTTTGCTTTATCCACAGCCTATCAATGATGGGATGGTGTGGGTGTGCATACATATGAGCAGGATTGTCTTTTTAAAGACATCAATCATAAAACTTTACAAATTTACACTGCAGCGGCGCACAACGCCTCATTACGCATTTTACTGCTTAACAAACCACCCACCAAACGATCCGCGTAATGAGAAATGTAACTGCGGCTGACATTAGAGGCATATCACAATCAAAACCATTTCATTTGCCTCGCATACAACACAAGCCTGTTTTCGCTCTCATGGCCAAAACAGGGATTAAACATGAACTAGTCTTACAAAACACACAGCTTGTCTCTGAAATCGAATTAGATGATGAAAAATAGCCAATGGCTGCAAATCTATTAGCTCATATCAAGGCATAGTTCACTTTGAAATTATTTTTTGGTATGTTTTAGCTTACCTCAAGGACATCCAAGATGTAGGTGTCTTTGTTTCCACAGTATTTTCAATTTTTATATTTTTAGGTCAAACCGTTCATATAATGGAGATCTATGGTCACCACCTCCAAGAGCATGCACAGAGAAGTCCAAATTAAACATGATTTAATGACTCGTAAATGTAAGTACACATTGATGGACTAAGACACTCAATGAGCAGTTTGTGTGAGAAAACGAACAGTATTTATATCGTTTTTACCTCTTGTGGCCACAAAGTGTCCTCAGATCACTTGGACGTGGCTGTGGCTACAAGAGGTAAAAACTATATAAATACTGTTCATTTTCTCACACAAACCGCTCGTTTCGTGTCTTAGGCCATCAATGTGTACTTACATTCACGAGTCATTAAATCATGTTTAATTTGGACTTCTCTATGCATGCTTTTTGAGGTGGTGACCATAGACCTCCATTATATGACTGACAGACAAGAACGGTTTGACCTAAAAACATCAAAACTGAAACTACTGCGGAAACAAAGACACCTACATCTTGGATGCCCTTGAGGTAAGCTAAAACATAGCAAACATGTATTTCAAAGTGAACTATCCCTTTAAGAGCATTAGACTGGTGTTTAAAAGTGTTAGATCTTCAAAACAAGCAGCTTGGTTTTCAGACATTTTGGTGACATGTATTAGGAACTGCATCATGACACATGAACAAAAATGGACAATCTACTCAGCTTTACTGCAAAAACATCATTCTGTCAAGGTCATGTCGTAACATATCAATGTTGTATTGCTAACACGTGTGAATTCACAGGTAAAATTTCCCCAAACTTTAACTTTGAGAAGCAAAAGAATGCAAAAGTTTTCGCATGAGCTTGCGTTTGCATGCGAATGAAAGCGTTATTTTGGTGTGTTGCTATGCAGTTGTTATGAGTAGTTGTGAATAATCACAAGCACACTATAGTTGCTTTACAATCTTCCGTCACTAATTTTGTTAAGTCCATGACAAGCTGTTTGTTGCTGTCGTTTTTATTTTGAAAAATTTACAAGTCGGTATTTTGTTTTTGTTGTTTTGTCCGTCTTAAATTTTCCACTCAAACCACTTAAATCGGTTTGTCTCCAAGTCTCAAAAGCACAAAACACACAGCGAGATGTAGTGTGTATTTCTGGAGCATTAGCATTCCACTGAAGTGTGTGTCTTTCTCTCAGAGCGTTATTCAGGTGAGTGTGTGGAAAGAGCTGGAATGGCTAAGTGACAGCCCTGAGCTAACACACACACACACCTTGTGCCTTAAGCTGGAATCAAAGCAGCGCAGGAGACGGCTCAGTGTGTTCTGAGGGGCTTTTTGTCTCGCGTCCTCCATTCAGACACACCGCTGATGTGAAACCACATGCTCGTGCTTGATGGGAGGCTCAGCGTGACATAAGTAGCATGTTTTTCTTTTTCGTCTTATTTTCATGTTTTTTTGTGTCCTTTATTTTCGTAGTTTTAATCTGACTCTTTTACAAAACGGGTGCTAGTAGGATCCCTGGTACTTTGATATTGCCTATACTGAATGATACCATATTCATAAACAGTAGTATTTACATGGTACTCCAGTGTACTTAAAGAAATTGGATAGTATTACTACGGTACGTCCTTCTTGGTAAAAGTTTTAGGCTTTACAATTAGAAGCTTTTGCAATAATAGCTGCTCAGACATCTATGGAAGCTTGTTTCTGTCACTGAATAAAAAATAATAATAATAATTGTGACTTTTTATCTCACAATTGCGAGATATGAAGTCAGAATTGTGAGAAATAAAGTCGCAATTGCGAGATATAAAGTCTGAATTCTGAGAAATAAAGTCACAAATTCTGAGAAATAAAGTCGCAATTCGAGATATAAATTCGCAATTCTGAGAAATTGTCGCAATTGCGAGATATAAAGTCGCAATCACGTCACAATTGCAAGATATAGTCGCAATTCTGAGAAATTGTCGCAATTGCAAGATATAAAGTCGCAATTGTGAGATATAAAGTCGCAATTCTGAGAAATAATGTCGCAATTGCACGATATAGTCACAATTCTGAGAAATAATGTCGCAATTGCGAGATATAAAGTTGCAATTCTGAGAAATTGTCGCAATTGCAAGATTTAAAGTCGCAATTCTGAGAAATAGTCGCAATTGTGAGAAAAAAAGACAGATTTGCAACTTTTTATCTCACAATTTTGACTTTTTTCTCACAATTGCAAGTCATCTTTTCTCAGAATTGTGAGAAACTCGCAATTGTGAGTTATCAGGCCAATTCTAATGGAAAAAGGACTAACTTGTTCCCCCTCAGAATAGTTTATATCTCACAATTCTGACTTTATAACACGCAATTGCGACTTTATATCACGCAATTCTGACTTTATATCTCGCAATTCTGAGAAATAAAGTCAGAATTGCGAGATGCAAACTCGCAATTGTGAGAAGTCGCAATTACCTTTTTTTATTTTTCATTCTGTGGCGGAAACAAATTTCCATAGACATCTGATAGTGAAATTAATGTTAATATTCTTAATAATATCTATATATGCATATTATCAGAAACAACAGTCATTTCAAACCGTGTTTTTGAGACTGTCTTTGCTTCAGAAAACACTCAGCAATGGTGTCAACTTATGAATTTACACATGGTTTGTCTTAAAGCTTATTAAAAACACCACATAGACACATAAACAACATTTAAAAGCTTGATTTTCCCCGCATGGGGGACTTTAACAAAACTATTTAAAATACTCAAGCCCATTTCTTAAAGTCAATAATTGTATCCATTAAACAAATTTTGATCACCAAAATGTCATATTTAAATGTTTTATCCTTGAATAAAAAATCTTCATGCTTTAAAATAGCTCGAATGTAATTTGACACCCTTGCCTCATTTAGTATACGTGGTTTTATTAATATGCAAATGAGCCCCGCCTCCACTCACTCACTCAGCTGATCTGATTGGTTACAAGGCCATGTGTAATGTCAGAAACACCAGCGATTACTTTGACAGCGACTGTCTTTGGTTCACTGCAGTTTTAAGGAGAAAATACTCAGCAATGGTGTCGACTTATGAATTTGCACATGGTTTATCTTAAGACCTATTAAAAACACCACCGAGACACATAAACAACATTAAAATCTTCACCACAGGGGGACTTTAAGAAATACTTTTCCAGTTCCATAAGGATGTTTTTTTATTGCCTGTAAACAGAGTTGATAACCTGTGCCCACAGTGCGTTTTGCTATTCATATATTTGTCCTCACTGTTTGAAGGCTTTTCTTTTTATGTGTCCTTCTCAAGGTGAGTCTCAATAGGATGGGCAGATTCCAGCATTGATGTAAAACGAATTCACCCATAAAGAATTGTAATATTTCATGTCATTTGTCAGCAGTGCTTTCTCTGCACTAGTGCGTCTTATCTGCGGCCAATCACAGCGCACATCCATTCTGCCCCACATAAACCCCAATCTGTCTCTCAGCCTGAGGTCCTATCGCGTTTTTAGTGTGGCTTGAGTTATTTGTCTCATCTCAGGCTTCTCTTGTGGGTTTTATTCAGGGTTTCTTCACGCCTTTTTCTTCGCTATGCTGATATATGTAGTTGCTTCATGTAAGGCCTTCCTCATCAAGCCAACAACAAAGCTTCAGCACTGAAAAAATTGGAAATGAATCCAAAGAAACGACACCCACTCACGGCTCTCATTCTTGATCCTTTTTTGTCTTTATAGCTACACTCTGCAAGTGGTTGGCAACGGGATTAAAGCCCAGGCGGAAAACCCAGAAGTCAAAGTGAAGGAGGCCGACCCGGTGATCAATCAGGTCATTGATAAACTGAAGCACATCAATCAGGTGAGCCTCGCCAGGAAAAATACCATCAAATGAAACATTGAACAAGCTCATTGATGATCCCGTTTCATGTGTTGCTAATGTTTCAGGCCAACAGATCAGAGCAGATCTCGTTAGCTTTGCTCATGGATGTATGAAACTATGGCATTGTGTGCATAAAACATGTTAGCACGGTTTGCAGTGTGTGTGTTCAGTACAGCGCTAACTTGGATGGGTTGAAGAGGTGTATTAGTTGTCGAATTTCAGATGTGGTTTTATGAACTGGTGAAACTCGAAAAATTTGAATATGGTGCAAAAGTTCAGTAATTCAACTTAAAAGTTGAAACTAATATATTATATAGACTCATTACATGCAAAGTGAGATATTTCAAGCCTGCATTTGTTATAATTTCGATGATTATGGCTTACAGATATGAAAACCTTTTCACAATATTCTAATCATCAAAATTATTACCAATAAAGGCTTGAAATACCTCACTTTGCATGTAATGAGTCTATATAGCATATTAGTTTCACCTTAAGTTGAATTAGCCTAAATGAACTTTTGCATGAAATCATGTCCAATTCTCCTTCTATTTCTGAATTATTATGCATAGTGTGATTTAAGTTCATGTAAACTGTGACTGCTAATGCTATTTTGCTCATAATAAACCACGGTAGCACAGTAAAATATGTGTACTGTGGTTTTAATCACACTATTTGTGTTTTAATCGAATATCCACATGCTAGTGCTGCAGATAGATGGTGTGTTTCGCTTATGGGGGGAGGACACACATCCACCATTGGCATTACCAGCAATTTATGGAGCTGTTTATTTTATAAATGTCATCCCTCGCATTATCTATTACTGTAATCTGTCATAGGATTTAACAGCAGCCTGTTCTGGACAGCAAATGTTTCTGAAAGGAGAACTTGGACTATACGTTGTTCACATAATTTGGATTTATGTTTAGTATGCGCTCTAGATCCAGTTTTGGGAGAGAGTCTCAGAGTTTTCCTACACAATGTCTGCCAATTGGGTTTTTCTAGTTTGAAGCACAATTGATGCATTTTTTTTTTAGAAAACAAAAGCTATATAAAAGTCTTAATTAATTAAACACCTTATGCTATTTTGCTTCTCATGTTAGTGTATCATGTACATTTTAAGAATGTGTAGATATTTGAAGTTTCATTTGAATTACTTTTAGATTTGGCAGATGCTTTTATTCCGAGTGATTTATATTGCATTAAGGTTATACAGTTTTTTCAGTTCATGCATTCCCTGTGAATTCAAACTGTGACCTTAGCATTACTAGTGCCAGATACACCAAGGTCATGGATATGGATCCGAGAAAATACATGTTCTGATAAATTGCACACATTGAATGCAACACAAGTCACTGTGGATACCAGTATTTGGTGCTTTTATCTAATTATAAAATGTACTTTCTTTGATTGAAATATCAGTTACGCTTTTCAGTATGTCATTCATGATTTAAAAGCTATACAAATAGTTTCTATTGGTATTGCTGGCTCTGTTTGTCTTGGTTTAGGTGATATCTATCTGGACACTGTCGGCGTATTTAATTAAAAGGTTTTAGATCAAGAATATCTACAGTGACCTGTGGTGTTCCCCAGGGTTCTGTTTTGGGCCCGCTTCTTTTCATTATTTATACGCTCCCCCTTGGTATGGTATTAATTTTTCAGTGTTATGCGGATGACACCCAACTTTACCTGTCTGCCAAACCCACATGTTCATTTCATGTTCTTATGCAGTGACCTGTATATTGCTTGAGAAGTGACCTTGGGTGTTGAAAGGCGCCATTAACGCCGGGAGCGCCGGCACTCCGGTTTGCGTGTGTCTGTTTAAGAGCCTATAGAAACTGAAACCAAATGGCTAGCTCAATCATTCTTTCTGCATAGAAAACCAGAGATGTAACATGTTCAGATCAAGCCTCCAACCACCTCTTTTCAACCTCTAATGAGTCTGGACAAATTGCGTAATATGCGTTTACAAAAAAACTAAAGCAAAAATGCATTGCACGTCTTTGCACACATGTCCTGTAGATCTGCGATTGATAGTTACGTCTTTTGATGACTCACTGACATGTCACATTCTGTGCCCTATGACCCCGGCGCACGCAACGTTATGTCTAAACGAAAATACACGGACGCAGAGATTTTGGAAATACTAATTGCATCCGATGACGCTGAACTCTCCGTCTGCTCATCTGCTTTATTTATATATTTATATTTATTTTATTATTAAATGTTCTGACAGGGTCTATTTATTTTATATTTTAACCAATTCAATGTTCAATCAATATTCAAAAGCAAAATGTTATCTGTTTGACCACAAATGTAATTGAATATTTGACATGGCATTTTTGAATGAGTGTATCTTAAAAAACGAACTTGTGTAAACAGTTCAAATCAATTCTGTATAGTTTTAAATTGTTTTATGCACATTTTTCACATTGACAAGTTTAAGGTTGACATTTATCCTTTTTTTTTGTATGGAATAAAATATCTAGATTTTTTTATTTTTGTTTATAGCACTTTTGAGATATTTATCTAGTTACTATTGATTTATTACAGACATGGGAATGTTGAGAAAATGCACAAAATAATAACAGCACAGCATGTAAAAATAGAAAGATATACTCTGGTGGAATTGTTCTATGGCAGGTCATAAAGGGTTAAATAAAATGTATTATTATTATTACAAAAATCCTCTTTTGCACAGCTAAATAAACGTCACCATCTCACCTCCAGAGCCAAAAGTACGGATGTTCCCTGAACAAACAAACGTCTGTGTGTTGATTAGATTATTATTGTCATCACTCTCAGTTTGGAGGACAGTAAAAGCTCAAACGCTGACTCACACTTGAATGTTTTGCTTTAATTAATACGATTGAAGGCAAATTAGTTTATGCTTCTTTTCATATCCCTCTCTTTTGCAAAATAACACGTCACCACGGAACACTTAGAGACCAGAAAATCAATGAATACATATTTAAAAATCCATTTTCAGTCTTAACACGTTGGTGTTTATTCTATCCCTGTTCCGCCCGCTGGCCAAATCAATGATGTTTTACCTTCCTGAAGCCTGATAGTGCTGTCCTACTCTAATAGATTAACTTTCTTCCCTTCCTGCTGGATATGCTTCAAGACGTATTGTCATAAAGTGTTATCACCTTCAAGTTCCTGAATTTCAGGACTATTATACAGGATTTTTGCACCTGTTTTATCATCCACCAGCCTAAAGAAAAGTAAGGTTTTCATCGCTCAAAAAATATTTAGGCTGGAAAATTCCCATCCATTAACAGTCATAAAGTAAACAAGCTAATAAACTCAATGTGATTCGCATTTGTCAGTCATGCATCAATGGCATGTAAAGGTTAATTTACTGAAATGATGTGTGTATGCTGCCGACAAATGCGTCCTCTGTAGACGCTGCCTTCGAAATGAGACGGTCTAGATCTGTGGTTCCCAACCTTTTTCTTTGGAGGCCCCCCATGTACATATTTAATAATCACTCACACACTGTATATAGTAACTAAATGTAGTTTTAAGTTTGTAATGACATTTTATTACATGAATATGCAGGAAATGTTCCTTTCAACTTCAAAATGTTTCCTTTAAACCTAATATTTTCATTTTTACACAACTAGTAAAACACAGTTGTTTCTCTTTTTTCAGGATTTTGTGTTTAAACTAGGGCTGTCAAACAATTAATCACGATTAATCACATCCAAAATAAAAGCTTGTGTTTACATAATATATGTGGGTGCACTGTGTATAATTATTTTGTGTATATATATATAAATACACACACATGCTTGTATATATTTATTTTCATCTATACTGTATATACTGTAGATGTATATCATTTATATTATATACAAATATAAATATTTTATATATAAATAATATTTTTTCTTAAATATACATGCATCTGTGTATATATATGTGTATATATATATATATATATATAAAATAATTATGCACAGTGCACCCACATACTGTATATCATGTAAACACAAACTTTTATTTTGGATGCGATTAATCGTGATTAATCGTTTGACAGCCCTAATATTTAAGAAAAAAATATTATTTATATATGAAATATTTATATATAATAGAAATTATATATACATCTATATGTATATACATGAACATATTTCTTAAATATATACAAGCATATATAAATAATTATACTCCGTGCACCCACATATATTATGTAAACACAAACTTTTACTTTGGATGCGATTAATCGCGATTAATCATTTGGCAGCCCTAATTTAAACATAGAATACTGAATGTTATGACGTAATGTTAAAAATGCACAGTAGAATGCTGTATGCTGCCTACTTGCATGCATGCACAGATCCTTATTTTTTACAAGGCTAATCATAACGCCAGCGTAAACACATGACGCTAATGTCCACCTTGAGCTAGCATGCCTTTGACTAGTGATGGAATGTCAAGTCTAAATTCACTGTGAACTTCCAGTCTGTTGTTGACTTTGTTTTGATAGCCACTGAAGGCCGTCTCAGAGAGGTAGGTGGAACTGAAAGGAAGAATGATCTTTGTTATGGCATAGTTTGGGAATTTAGGTGCTACAACAGCCTTTTGAATCCAATCCAATCCAAATCCATTCTCTTGGAAGTAGTCTTCAGTTTGTAGTACAGCGAGCTCATCTTCACAGCCAAAATATGCCTGGATGTGAACGGATCCATAACCCACGACTCCTTGGATAACATCTGCAAAGCAGGACTTTAATTCCTCATGTGACGCGCAACGATGCACTCACGGTACCCGCAGGATGTTGAAGCAATAGTGGAAAGTGTTGTGAATGCCCCTGTGACATTTGTCCAGCCCTGTACTCCAGCTTGCGCATAAAAGCATCGATTGCTTCTTTGCACTCCAAGATGTTTGACTCAGAGCCCTGCGGTCTCTTGTTGGTCTCATTATAAAGAGTGAATATGTCAGCAAGGTATGCAGTTTTGATCCAGAACACA